AGTGGACTACTAGCGACGATAATCCTCGTGTACCTTAACGCGGAATTCAACAAAACAAACAAACAAAATAATGTTCAGCAGCATACTGCAGCTCGAACATTTACCCTTTCAATTCATAGTCCAGCACTCTAACCACTGGACCAGGTTAGTTGATAATTTACAAACAAGCAAATCACCTTAAACACGGTAACTTAATAATAATTTAATACAAATAACTAAATAATACATTTCAATAATAGAGGTCGCTATATTATCGTGTTTTTTATGTCAAGGTACACTATACGCTATCTGCATTCTGTTCACTACGGGGAATCAAATCCCGGATCTTAGCGTTATAAGTCCATAAACCTATCGCTGACCCATCGGGAGACAGAGTTACTTTTTCACGTCCAATGATTATTTTCAATTTCCGTTTTTTGTTTTTTTTATAAAAGAGACTTGTCAACGTTAATAATCGTTAACAATAAATGGTTTTCTCAGCAAGTGAATCCCATGTGATTTTGAAGGTACATTTTGTAAATATTTTTCTACATCCCACACTTTCCCAGTTCTTTTATATATCTTTTAAATCATAACATTTAGCTTTAGTACAGATATCTATGCCCCAAAGTGGCACAGCGATATGTCTGCGGACTTACAACGCTAGAATCCATGATTCGATACCCGTGGTGGGCAGAGCACAGATACCTTATTGTGTAGCTTTGTGCTTGATTACAAACAAACAAACAAGCAGATATTCGAAACCAAAAATTTATAATAATTATTTGAATTAATAAAGTTGGTTATTGTTACAAAAACTCAATTCAACCTTAGCCAGGAATTTCATAACGTGAACTAACTACATGACATAATAAGCTAAGTATCTGTACAAAGTAACTATTCCGTTTTAAAAAACAGGAAATAAAAATAAATGAGTAACCATCCAATGTGTATCTTATTCGAAACTTGTCCCCTGGTGGGTAAACGGTAAGTTTAGGGACTTCTAACATTAAAATCTGGGGTTAGATACCCCGTAGTGGACAAAGTGCAGATAGCCCCTTTTTTAGCTTTGCGATAAACAGCAACAGCATATTCAAAACGTTTGCGTCTTATTTTTGTGCGCTGATTCTTCTAAAATGGTTTAATTCGATCTATTTTATGAATTACTGTTCCACAACTTGTTAGATCATTACTAATTTTTACTTTATGGTTGCCTGATGATTTTATTCATCAAAATAGGACCCCTGGTAAGGAAAATGATAAACTCTGCCATAACTGGTAAGAAGCGTAATGGATGTTGTTTTCTAGTTGCTAAAGTATTATATTCACCATAGGAGAATTCTCACAGAGACAAGAATTAAACATAGTTTAAAGTAAGTCTCTCTAAACGAGCAGCAACATTTGCTGACGAATACAACATGTTTCTCGTCACGCAATCCCAACATGACCAAATATGACACCAGAAAAATAATGAAAAACGCATAAAAATCGAAAACGTCTATATCACTGCTTGAGAACTGCGGGAAGATGTCTTTTTACGAAATTCTATATAAACTGGTCGAAACGAGGCTAAGTAATTGACCAAAACCCATAATATTATGGGTTTATTTAGCCTTTTGACCCCTCTAAAATAATCAAAAACGGGCATATCCCATACTTTTTCATGTATATGTATGGGACACGTAAAAAAGTGTCTTTGTATCAAATAACATGTAAATTGTTCGTAATACGGTGAGTAATTGTCAAAAACCCTAATTATGTTTTTTCTTTGTCAATGTGTGGGAACTGTAGAAAAATATCTCTGTACCAAATCCGATGGAAATTGGTAAATATATGACCGAGTAATTAACCATAAAACACAAATGATGCTTTTTGTGAACTCTGACCCCTCTAAAAAGATTCAAAATTGGCAAATCCAACTTTTTTGCATATCAGGGTGTTGGGAGCATGAAAATTTATACTTGTGCCAACTTTCATCGTGATTTTTGTAGATATGACCACACAGGAGCCCAAAATATACATTTTGAAGTTGTTCGACTTTTGACTCCATAAAATCCTTAAAACGTCTAAGTCAAAAAAATAAAAAAAAGATGTTTGGGCGTATTTACCAAGGTATTACCCTTCCGTATTTCATGTCAATCCACTAAAAAATGATAGATGTTTGTTTGTTGTTAAGCGCAAAGCTACACAATGGGCTATTTGTGCTCTGGCCAACACAAGTATCGAAACCCGATTTTTAGCGTTGTAACTTCACAGACATACCGCTGTGCCACTGGAGAGTAAATATGAAGGAATTGCGTTTGACTGAAAAGTGTTTGGAAGAAGAAGAAAAAACAATAGAAAAACAGTATGTCTCTCTACGCAGACATAAGTAAATTCAGTTCAGTATTAATATTCATACAAGTGACTTAGGCGAAATGATACTTTACTTGCTATTCGTGAAATTACTTTACGCACTCTTAGAGAGCCACTAAAAGGAACGGATTAATCTCAGCCGAATTTATTAATTTATTTTACACATATTACTCTTCCACGATGTGTATCAATACATATTGATAAGATTTAATAAGTCAATGAATTTTATTGGTCGTTTTGAAGTGTCTCTGATGCTTGCCAAATCATGTTTTTTGTGGATAAATCTAAGATGCACCTTTTCATTACGAACATCGTGAAACTGGTTTCTGTTTCATTTGTTGAGTACTTCTGACAGTCGTATGCTTTTTTGGTTCTAAGTAATGATTATGATGTTATTTTACCCATTTTAGAAAATCCTTTTTGTATATAGACGTTGGTTACACATTACGTACGTTAATTTTGACATTTAAGGGAAAGAAAGAATAAAACATCTTCGTCTTATCATTGATGATATTGTAAAACAACTCTTCAAACAACAAGGTCATAAGACAAAACCTCACACATAAGATAGAAACAAATTAAACTAGGGCACAAAGTGGAAGTGTTAAATGTGTTTTAGTAAAAGAGATATCTACTGAAAGTGTTAAATGTCTTTTAATAAAAGAGATATCTACAGACGAATACACAAAGCGATAGAGATGAAACGGCTACAAGGTGTTAACCTCTATTCACAAGCTTCTCATGAGAAAAAAAGAGCAAGAAACAACTTAATTTTTGAATACTCAGGCTTCAGTGTCCCATATCTAGTACTACCTTTTCTCCTTCTGCAGCGTTGTGGGAATACAGCTTCTCCTAATAAGTTATAATTATAAAATAAAAGGACACTAAAACTGAACTACTATACATAGTGAAAGTATTGTCAATATGGTACGGATGAAACATATTACAGTAATTTGTTTCTGAATAATTGGATAAATGGTTTGATTCTTCATTTAATGTAAGTGCTCTCGCATAAAGTATATTCTTCAGATATTAATGATTAAACCATTTTCTCTGAAAAATCCACCATGAACGAAAGGACTCATATCAAATACAGAATTGAAGCATTCATCTAGTTATTCTGACTAAGTTATGCATATACATACCAACCAATCCGGATAATACAGTATAACATTTCCAAGTACTGACTACTGTAAATATCAATCAATACATTAGAGAACCCGTTACATGGACATGATCCTTAAACTCCCAGTTATCTTATAATGTCATATATCTGTAAAGCCAAACTATAGATAATACAGTATAATATTTCTAAGTACCGACTATTGTAAATATCTATCAATACATTAGAGAACCCTTTACGTGAGCATGATCCTTAAACTCCAAGTTATCTTATAATGTCATATACCTGTAAAGCCAAACTATAGATCTGAAATATCGTTAGTTAAGTGAGGTACCACAATAACAAAAAGGGTTTTCATAAGACGATGATAAAAATCTGTAATTTATCATAACTGGTAAATTTTGTTGTTATGAAACTCTGATCATCAAAATCAGCATATCAGGCACTTTGGGGTAGTGTTTTATATTAACAACGTAATGAAGTATATGTGGTACTTCAGTAACCAGGGCGTTACAGAGAAGTAATGCATATAATTTAACTAGGATATGAGGAAAAGCAGAAAGAGTACCCCTTGATACATACTTCTAGTAAAACATCATAGTTCTCTGTACAGCTATATTGAAATATTGCTCTGTGTGTCAGTGTGTGTGAAAACTGCGGTGATAGACGACACATTGAATGCAATTATAAAATAAAGTAGGGTGCTTGTAGTGGAAAGAAAGAAACCAAACATGATAGTTAAAAAAACATTCCGTAAAATAATGCTGCTGTGAATGAGGAAATTATTACTATTATTTTTGGCAACTATATAGTCATCATAATTAGATAGTGTAATGAGTAACCACCCATATTACCTGATGTTACCAGCATTCCTAGTGTGCTTTCTCTGTAGCAGTAGGTTATAGGTAGATGTCAATTCAGTTAATTCTATTTGACTGTATTATTTCATGACTGACTAGATGAAGCTTACTTCTGAACTTGTTGAACGTTAATTTCTAGGTTATTAGTAGCAGTAAAAAGGGCCCTCTATATCTCTATTATGTACTAGTAAATGCTTGTGTATTTTAATTGTGGCTGCCACTCGTATTCTCTGTCCAATAGGAATATGTGGTTCAAAAATGTTGAAATTAGTTTTTGAACAAGTTCCGTCGCTCCAAGCAGCGTTTTGTGTAACCGGGTTACCACTTGACGTCATCTAAGTAAAACTAGAGTTTGGGTAGCGCTCCGTGTTAGCCCACGCGTTTTGTTGCCAGAGGCGGGCGGCACTGTTCCTGTTTCTTTCAGAAGCTGTGCAGTGTTGAACAAAAAAGTGCAATATACTAGCGTGTGCCGCGAAACCACATTCAAGCGGCACGTGCCTTGTGAAGTAAACAACTCTCAAGCGAGCACTTCTTGTGATTAAGAAGTGTTGGTCTACCAGATGGCAGTGCGAACATGATGCAGCGGTGTTCTTATCTAACAGGCCCTTAGTTGCTGCACGTGCCACAGTCGCAACATACTCGCCTAAACGTGAAAAGACGACGAAAGCATGCGAGCTGAAGTCCCGCACACTCGTGCGCCCAGTCCGCCGACTACAATCGTATCGTCCTGAGCGATCATGTCTACCCAAACCATAACCACGAGCACCAAGACTGTACAATCTTACAATATATTACTTCTCATTATACTTTCTACCAGTTCGTATAGTTCGTCTGAGGTACGGGACCATAGTATTCCTTGTCCAAAAGGATGCATCTGTGCCAAACCTCCGCAAGTTCCTAAGGTGGACTGTTCGAAACTCAACCTCACCTCTGTGCCAGTGGATATCAACATCAATGTGTTGTCCTTGTAAGTTATATTTATTATTACGAATGATAACATTCTAAAGTTACTAAGATATTCGTATTTTTAGTAAACGTAAAATATAACATTAAGTTTATACTTAGATTTGTCTTAGTCTGAATAATTGAAATTGAGGTCAGGCCCAATCTAGATATTTCGTTGAAACCACATACATACCACCACCTGATGTATGATAGAATTTAGCTCTGTTGTCATATATATATATATATATATATTGATGTTACCTATTCCATCAAAGTAAAAACGCCTACTTACTTTTAAGAACCTTGTTTTAAATTTCACTATTTTGAAGTGATGATTTTGTTTTCTGCTGTGCCCACGCAAAATCGCTGATTTATGTTTATTCTGTCTCCCATTTTTGTATAACTCATTACGCTAGTCCTTTGGCTTAAACGATAGAGACCAGTAAGCTGTAGGTCCTCACAATCATGTGTTGACAGCTGTTGATATACTGCTGAGTGTTTACATTCATCAGATGATGGTGTATTGGCATTTAACTCAGATCTTCCATATTATAGTTTCAATATTCAAACCAGTCAAAACTGTGTGGATGACATTTAGTTAAACATATCTTGGGAGTTTACTTTCTCCATCATATATTTATAGACGTCTCACGAATCTTTATCTCAAAAATTCTTCTAACACCTACATCTTGGAACTGATGTAAACCATGGAATTTTCTTCCAAAATGTGTAAGCTATTATCTCAAAAAAAAAAGGAACCGAAAAGCTCACCTTTTGTAAATGTTTAAACTAAACATTTGAGAATAATCGCTTTATTAACAAAATCAAACCGTCGGAAACTTGTAGTTTACAGAAAATATTACTGGATGAGTATACTTTTCAGTCTTTTTCTCCCTTTTATATGGTTCATTCTCTCTTTTTGGTGCCTGCTACTTTGTGTTTCAAACTCACTAATAACCACGTATCACAGTTACGCCCGAAGACTCAGATCTCTGAACACGTTATGTAGCGTTGATTCAGTTGTGTTTAGACTATGGCACAGATCACTGGACTCATGTCAATCAATAAACTTAATAATGTCATTGAAATGCACACACTACGCGCCATTAAGCTGATAGGTAGATTTCTGAATTCGAAAATACATTGCCCATTAATTCATGATCCAACTACTCAAGAATTTATTGTTTAATTAATGTACAAGAAAGTTTGGACCAAAAACATATACGTGGCAGGAAAATATAATAAACGTAGATTAGTTTAATTTATCTTATGCTAGTTTGTTTCTTCAACGGATACCGTGTCCTTTTAAAGTGTTTAACAATTTTTAAAAAATGTTAGATTTATTAAGTTGATTTTAAATATTCAATGATTAACAAGCTAATAAACTCACTTTTGAGAAAAGCAGATAACATAGTTTAAACATCCAAATTTTCATTATATGGCAACATATGTTCCTATAGGTTTACGATTTCATATCGATGACATCTTTTCACTCTACTCGTAGTCAGAGCAGTAATGAAAAATGACATTAAAAATTATAACAAAATATAAAACTTAGATTATGCTAAACAATTTAAAATGCTTTGAAAGTTTGTAAATGTTAACTAGTTCCTGAACTTTTGCAATTGATTCTTAAAATTTAAGGAAAAAAGCTGTTATAAAATATCAAGTTTTTAAATTAATATATCAAAATATTGGAAAAAATAATGTATTTTTTAAATTTCATATCAAACATGAAAATTAAAATACAGTTACTATCTAAGATTTGTCATTAAACTTGGTAACATATATATATATATTGGAAGTTCCGAAAATGTTCCTTAAATGTTCAAGGGGGTTTTAAGTCGTAACAAGGGCGATATGAAGAACAAAAATATGAAAATATCACTCGAAAGGAATGGATTAAGCCTCTTATTTATGGTTTGGGATCATTAAGTTTATACTGTATCATGGTGAAACTGGGCTGATGGAAATAAACTGAATCCATTTATTAAATATAGTGTCGTTGAAATAATTTCAACACGAGTTTATAATTTTGCAAGTTTCTTTTGTTATTTAGTCATTTTTGTAAGTGAACAAATTGCGAAGATGTTTTGAAAACATATCTTTAAATCTTTAAGACCTCTTTAAACCAGCAGCAATTTTCTATTTTCGAATTTTATATTTCAACCACATCTGTCACCAGCTATTTATCTTACAATATTCACCTGCATTGCAAGTTACCACGAAGTTTGATGATCCTGACTATAAGATTTGTGCCTACTCTTTAAGCCTTATTTGAAAAACCTATGGTAAGTACACCGTATCTTGACAGTTGGATATTTATTATAAGTTCGTAGGTTCTCAGTTTCTTTAATTGTAATGGGAAAGTTAAAGATCTGTTATCAATGGAAACGATATCCTTTTTCTGGAACTGCAGGTTGTCTGTCTAGTCAGCAGCCTTCTCCCGTGAGGATAGAGAGTATTTTCTTATATCTCTGTTCCTTCATTAGGGATACTGATATTACTTGTTTACTCATCTGTGGCGTGTTTTGCAGTTTGTGTTGATTCTTGTCTCATTTCTAAAATGCAACCAGGCCAGTATGTGCTTTTTAACAGTTTCTTTTTCAAAATTCAAATAGTTTGTTTATTTGTTTCAGATATTCGCGCAATGCTACACATGGGATATCTGCGTTAGCAGTCCTAATTCTGAACTGATAGACTATAGTGAAGGCAACTAGCCAAAAGCACTCACCGCCATCTCTGGTGCTACTACTGTAATCAAATATTGGGATTTGACAGTCACTTTTTATAATGTACCCATAGCTTCAAAGTGCGGAGCGTGTTTTTAAGGAAATTTGACATAAACCTTGAAATATTGGGATTGCGGTCGAACATTTTGACTACTAGACCACACCCGGCCTATATTCAAACAAATCTTCAGTTATTTCAGTCTTCCTGACTTATTGTAAATCAATTATTCGTAGCTCAGTCTTAAACTATGTATGATAATGCTAGCGTGTTTCATTTTTAATGTGTCATGTTAAGTATAAAATAGGACTATTTTCTGTTATAAATTTGGTTTAATCCCTGCATTTAGCCATTTTCACCTTTCATTCTGTTCTTCTCAACTGCATATTTCAAATTATCGAGTATACGCAGATTTATAGTAGCAAATGAAGACAGAGAAATGTTGGTATCAGGACCAAATAATTTAGTCTGTTTATGAAAGGAGAGAGGTCAGCTTCAGTATATGAGATTTCACCGGTTATGGTTCATCATATTGAGATTACTTGAAGGTATTTTTAGAACACCTAGCCAAGGCAGCCTCCAGCATTTGTCATCTTGTTGGATGAATGATTCTGTAACATAAACTAAAAGTAAGAGCTAGAAGGTAAGATGACAATAATGAGGTTGTTTCATTACCAGATGAAACAACCAAAGCAATTAAAGAAAACTCGGGGAAGATGTAGATGAGCTGGTATTGACCTTCATGTCGAACAGCACTTGGAAGTGTCAAGGCTCGTTTTAACAACCCGATGATGTGGCATAACAAGCATGGGTGACAATGTGCTACACTTTGGGTCCTGATTACGAATCTTGTATTAACTAAGAACGAAAGGACCACGAATTGCGGTGTTACATACGTTACACTGTTAATGTTACACCCTTAGTGATCAAATACCTTGATGAGATTCAGCTTAACCGTGAAGATCTAAAGTCTACCTAAAGATCCCATTAAGCACCAAAAGAGAAATACAAGAATATTATGACCTTTAAGGAGGAAACGTCGGTTGTACAAAGACAAAAAAAGACACGCAGCGTCACCGTCGGGGTTCTTCCAGCCACACAGCTTAAGATTCGTTTTCAACTTGAAGAGTATGAAACAGACTGAAGGTTGCTTGGTAATAAACGCTGTATTATAGTTCCACCACGGCGAGTCATGCTATTCGATAAGAAATTCCTAAAGCCTGCCTTTAACACTTGGACCATGAATATTGTAAGACAATGATGAATGATACAACCGTATATAATGTAAAGTTGCACTTGCAGGAAACACTCTAGAAGTCATTGATTATTTTGACAGAAAAAAAATTCAAAAGCTATACCGAGTTTTTACACCGAATCACGAAAGCAATAGACGGTAGTATATTAGTTAAATTGGTTTGATTAGGTGACAGCAAACAAAACGTGGATTGGTTAGGTGACAGCAAACAAAATAGGAATTGGTTAGGTGACAGCAAACAAAACGGAGATTGGTTAGGTGACAGCAAACAAAACGTGGATTAGTTAGGTGACAGCAAACAAAACGGGAATTGGTTAGGTGACAGCAAACAAAACGTGGATTGGTTAGGTGACAGCAAACAAAATAGGAATTGGTTAGGTGACAGCAAACAAAACGGGGATTGGTTAGGTGACAGCAAACAAAACGGGAATTGGTTAGGTGACAGCAAACAAAACGTGGATTGGTTAGGTGACAGCAAACAAAATAGGAATTGGTTAGGTGACAGCAAACAAAACGGGGATTGGTCTTGTTACACCGAATCACGAAAACGTTAGACTGTGGTATATTAGTAAAATTGGTTTGATTAGGTAGGTGGCAGCAAACAAAACGAAGATTGCTCTGTATATCACCACTGCAGTGGAGCATGTGTAGATGTTACAGTACAGTTCATAGTTCCAGGACAAAGACTGTTAAGAACAGATGGTAATGAGATACATCAATAATAACAGTAGAGTACATAGAGATGAAATAAAACTTCAAGAAACAGTCAAAGGTTTTCCGATATCAAGGCCTCGCGAGCAGTCTTAGGGGAGAATAGTGATGATTCTGAGACGTTAAATGGATCCAGAGAAATGACGAAGAGAACTAAGCATTAGGCTAGTTGTTTATATTGGAACTATCGTATAAGATGAAGGATCCTTGGGTAGGTTGACTTGAGGATAAACAGATTTTACTTTTATAGGAAATAAGAATTGCTCTACGAAAAAGTAAATCACGAGTTATTCCGTCCTCAACACTACATAACTTCTGAAAGAAAC